AATAAATTGTATTTTCTCACATCCAAATAATCTGTCATAACAACATAAATAAAATCGAGATCAAGATCATATCAACCTGTCATATACAATGTAAAATAAAATAAAATAGAAAAAAAATACAATAAAGGGGACAAAAACAATGACGAGGACAACAATAATAGTTAACTACTAACTTTTTTCTTTTTCATTTTCAAACCTTTTTTTTTTTAATTTAATCATTCTATAGCTTAATTAGATGAAACTAGATGCATGCTCGGGAGCTAATTAAAGGACAATTTCTTAAACCTATTTTAATTTTATTATGTAATAATGAAAATATAAATAAACAAAAAGAATAAGGGGATACCTTTTTTCTGAATACCTTTCTGAAATGTCAATAAGAATACCTTTTTTCTTTTTCTTCCTAGCCCACATCCTTTGAAGAGTGAATAAAGATGTTTTTCAAGAGGATTCATAAACCCTAAAATCTTGTAAAATTGCAATTAAAAGTGAAAATTACACAAAACCCGAGTATAAATAAAATTTGAAGAGTGTCATTTCTACGAGGAAGGAACTAATAAAGTGAAAGATTTTTTTTTTTTGTTTTCTTTAATAATAATAATGATGATTTTTTGGTAAAAAAGCTATCATCTTTTAATTTAGTTTCTTTTATAATAATAAAAACAAAAAGAGAAACAATATATTTGACGCTGAATAACTTCTCTTGAAAAGTTAAAAAGTGTTAGAGAAAAAGATTAAAAAAAAAACAATCTCTAGGTGTTATTGCAACAATGAATGAATGATGATAAGAACAAAAAAAATTTATGATAAATAGGCGTAAAAAAATAAAAACAAAAATAAAAATTGTTTGCAAAAGAAGAAAAGAGTTGCACAAAATTACAGATTTGCCATTATTACAATACCAAACACTTAAGAAATTGAAAAGAAAAAGAAAAAGATTTACCATTTCTAAATTTAATCGCTACAAAGAAAATGAGTTTCCTTCTTGTATATTATATAATTATTTTTGTAATTATGGTGAAATTACCAAATTAAAAGAAATTGGAATTATGTTAAGAAAATTCTATGCAGTCTAAATATTTTTTTTATATTTAAAAATCCTTGATCCCACCCGAGCGAAGCAGTGAGGCCTGCCGGCAGTTTGCTAGTATAACTCTATTAAAAAAATTGGCACATGAAAGCGAAGCCCTCTCGATTCAGAAATGACTTCTCAGCAAAGAATCTGACGTGATGCAAAATCATTTTCGAGATGACCTTTGCCTTCGAGGCACCCAAGGAAAGCCTAACCACTACAGAAGTAATGCTTCTCTCGAGATCAGGATATTTTCCGGGTTTTGAACAAAGAAAAAAAGACAACAAGAATAAGTGTTGTAGTGGCAAGAAGTTGGAATAAATAAACTCAAATCATAAAGATATTAGGAGCAAAGCTGATTAGTCGAGAAAGCCAACTAGACCTCCACAACCTCGTAATTTCTTGACATGGTCCCCTCGAACTATCGTGTCGAAGTAAAACACCATCTCGGGTCGGGTCCTCCGTCCTCAGGCTTTCGTAAACAAAAATTGGGAGGGAGTGGTCGGGCACACACGTGATCCTTGACGAGGTTTAATTGACAAAAGCCTGAGAAAACTCTACCGAGGGCGATGCATTATCTTGACCTTATAATTCGACGGCCAAAATAATAATACTAATAATAAAGAATTGAAAGGCCAGGGGCCTCGTTGGATTTGATAAGAAAATCATAGATACTTTTCAACCAATTATACATTTGAACAGCATAAAAATAATTAATATATGTTCTTTCGACCAACAGCCAAGAGAGAAATTAAATGAAAATGAATCGGAATGCTCGAAATCCATCTAGAGAAGGAGAAGGAAGAAAAAGTCAATTCGGCGAGCATAGGTTCAAAGCATGAAAACACAAGCCAAGATTCTTTGCCCAAAGATGACGACAATTCAGAAGTCCTCAAGGACTGTGGAGACATCCAACCTTTCACCAGAAGCATCCGAATTCGCTTTCCTGCTTTGGAATTTCTTTTGGGCAAATTTGGCGGTCCATCAATGGTCATCTACCGCGTGGGGCATATTCTTTGTTTCTTTAGGAACCTCAAGGCTCAAGCTTGCCCCTAATGTCGCATTACCTAATTCTCGATTGAGTCCCGAAATTGAACATTTTATCTATTAATTTGAATATTATCAATTCCTTTTCCCGATTTATGTTTATTTTCTCATCAGATAGATTCCGAGATGTCTGGAGCATCTGGGATTTTATCCATGGATAAAATCTTTAATATGGAGACTTAATTGAAGATTAGCACGCAGGCCAGGGACTAAATTGATATTCTCCCTTTTGTAATTTTGTTTTAATGTCTAGAAACTAAAAATAGGCTGGCCGCCACCATGTTGAAGCAGTGCTTAGCTTCCACAATTGCCCATTTCGTGGAAGAAAAATACCAAAATACCATTTAGTTAATTGCATTTTGTGGTTTAAAAATTTTTGATTTTTTTTTTAAATTCTTTATTTTATTATTTTAAAATTATTTTAATATGGTAGTATCAAAAATAAATTTTAAAAATTAATAAAAATATTATTTTAAAATATTTTTAAACAAAAACTACTTTAAATTAAACAAACAATTAAAACTTGTTTGAAGTTATAGTAGCTCTAACTTTTCAAAATGTATTTTTAAAATATATTTAAATAATATTTTAAAAAATATTTTTAAAATCATTCCATCAAAATAATTTAAAAATACAATTTTTTAATTTTATTAAAAATAAATTTGAAAAATATAGAAACACGCGACCTCGCCATATTTCGAAAGAAGCTCATGTACTTTTAAACACGTTTTAGTAGAAGCTGATATTGCCCTCGTGAAGGGACAAGAACCCAGTGCCTAAAACGTGCATGGGATGAGAATGTACTATGTAGCAAGACATTCTCCGAACAAACCTACGGTGATGGCGACAAGGCTGGTCATCCATGCCGGCTGAGGCGTTACCATGCGCGTGGAATGATCATACTGGATAATTGTGAATTATTGCACAAAATTAGAGGATTTTCTTTTGTCATTAAACTTCCAAAAATACTTTCTCAAGATTGAATGTGATAAATATTTATTTATGTCTTGAAATTAAGCAACGTATAATTATGACAATAGAGGGTACCCTGAATTGTTGGTATTCAAATATGGTATTTTTGTTCAAATATTTTTTAATTAAAAATACATTAAAATATTTTTATATTTAGTTTTTTATAAAAAAAACCATTAAAAAATCACTGAAAACAATCAATTTAATGTTTTTTCAAGCAAAAAATTATTTAAAAATTACTTTGAAAACCAAGTTTAACCATCTTACCAAAGAAGTCATAAACAAGTTGAAATTTGACATCAAATAGGTAAATATAAATTGTCGGATCATTATAGATGGTGTGTTAATTGTTTTGATAGGCAAACGTGGATATCAAGTTTCCTTAAGTTTACGCAATGTGCTTCATCATTCAAACATTTCAACTTCGAATTACATATTTTCATAACAATGCTATATTTCCATGCAAATCATATAAAAAAATTTAATAATATTTTTCTTTATGTTAATTTAATATTTTTTTGAACCTATCCTATACATCTATCACTTAACTCATCATTTTTTTTTGTATTTTAAAAGTATTTTTGAAATAAATTGAATTTTTTTTAGTTTAATTTTTTTTTAATGTTTTTTTATCATTTTGATATGATGATGTTAAGAAATAAATTTTAAAAATTTTAAAAATATTATTTTAACATATTTTTAAACAAAACACTTTAAAAAATAAATATTACTTTAATATCAAATACAAACCGAGAGAAATAAAACAAATAGATAAATACATCAGATTCTCTTGCCGATTGCTAATATATCATACCAATATTGAAATGTCAATAACATTTTTGGTTTTTTTTTTAACAGACTTCTTTCTATTAAATATCTTTTCATTTATATACTTTATGGTTATAGCTATGACAATAAATAAATAAATAAATTTACATACTCAATGGTTATAGCTATGACAATAAATAAATAAATAAAATAAAAGATTTCAGTAAAATATTATAACCCTAAATTCATTATAATGCAAATTAGAATACTTTAATGATGATTTTGTTCTTTCTCATAGAAACTAACAAAATTTGTTATTGGAGGTAATGTAATTTTTTTCACGGAATCCTTTAGACATTACTAAATTAATTAAATTAATTAGAGATAAATTGTTTTATAAATACTTTTCTAACACAGTAAAAAATAACTCTATTACACTTAAAAAAATCTGAAATTAGGATTTAAAGATGTTTTAGTCTTTTAATGTTTTGCTAGCGTAGTAAAATACTCTTAAAAACAAAAATATTAAAATAAATATTTTTAATTTTATTATGACTTTTTAGTTTATAAAATCATGAATGGACGACAAATTAGTTTTTTTAATAAATATAAATATAATTAAAGAATAAAAAATAATTGTGCCTACATTAAATGAGGATGCCCTCGCTTTTTGGATAATACAAATGGTATTATCCGACATTCAAACGCTATGTTCTACCATAAAGTTGAAAACATTATATAATTTTTTTTACAGCGGTTAAAAGTGTGTGTATGATAAAGCGATGCTTTGTTTTGATGATTTTTTTTTTGTTGATATTTTCAAAACTTAAATGTGTTTTGATAAATCTGAATTAATTTTTTATTTATTTAAATTATATAATTTTATTTTTTTATTTAAATTAAGTTTTTATAACAATGTTAATAATTATACTACAAAAGAAGAAAAAAAAGAGTAATGAAATTAATTTACTGTTCTGTTTTTTGAAAAAATTAAACTAATTAAACTCCAGCTGGCACCATTAGTAATTTAACGAAGACAACATAATTACTCACTCTAGTTAACTGTCCGCACCATCATTCCCCCCTTTTTAAAAATCTGGAAAAACAAACCACCATTTCTCTCTCTAAAAAACAAAACCAAAACTCTCTCTCTCTAGACACCAACTCACTTTTATTTATTTTTAAATATATATATCAAGCAACACAGAGAAAACCTTAACAAAAAAAAAATCATATCTCCAAAGCTCATTGCTTTCTAACAGAGACATATTAAATGAGTTATTAATACAGGGAGAGGATAGGAGAGGAGAGGCATTTTTTTTTTGTTTTTTGAAGAATAAAATGGATTCGCCGACGGCCTCAACGACGGAAGGATCGACGGCTAGGATAGTGACGTCGAGATCATCAGTAATTGAATCAATTCGAGGATGTGGATTATCAGGCCTTAGAGTAAACAAAGAGGATTTGAAGAAGAAACTGTCGATGCCTAAATATCTGCGTCACGCAATTCGAGATTCAATCAATTCAAAGGATGTTAATGCCACCGCTGACCGTTACCGAGAAGGAAATAGTGCTGGTCGTGAGGAGGCGCCGGAGGGGCCTATGGTGGTGTTTGTGAATTCCAGAAGTGGTGGTCGGCATGGGCCTGAACTTAAAGAGAGGCTTCAGCAATTAATGGGAGAGGAGCAGGTAATAATGCATTGTGTTTTCCCCCCTTTTCCCAGCGTCTCGTTTTGAGGATTATTTTGCGTCGTCTTGATTTGTTGGTTATTGTTGTTGAAAATAAATTAATATTTTTTTTTTTAATTGAGCAGTGAAGATTTAGTGAAAAAAAGGATGATTAAAAATTAATTAATCATGATAGACTGCTCCTGCTGGTTTCGCATGTGATTTTTGTTCTTCCTCGTCTTCTTCTTCTTCTTTTCTTAACAATTGTAGTTAGTTTTAGTACTGAAAGTTTTCTTGTTAATGTAGCAGTAAAAAAATCAGCTTAAACATGGGTTTAGCCGAGTTAAATAGAAATTAAAGAAAGGCAATGAAAAAATAATTATTAAAAGGCTGGTTGACTAGTTTTAGTTAATATGATTATAGAAAGTTGGGGTTTTGAATAAGTAATGATTTGCAATGCAGGTTTTTGATCTAAGCGAGGTGAGGCCTAATGAATTTGTGGCGTATGGTTTGGGATGTTTAGAGAAGTTGGCCGGCCTTGGTGATTTTTGTGCCAAAGATACTCGTGACAAGTTGAGAATTTTGGTAATAAATGGACCTTTTCTTGATCTGTACAAAAATGGTCATGGTAACGATGCTGTTTCCTGGATGTGTGTTATTTGAGAAATTCTTGGATGATTGAACAGGTTGCGGGAGGTGATGGTACGGTTGGGTGGGTGTTAGGAAGTCTCACAGAACTTCATAGGCAGGGTAGGGAGCCTGTTCCTCCTGTAGCAGTCATCCCTCTTGGTACTGGAAATGACCTGTCAAGGAGTTTTGGTTGGGTAAGCTTCTCTTTTACGTTAAATTTTGAGCTTGGCTTGTTTGAAAATGTGGTTATGGTTGTTTTCAAATAGCTTTTCATGCCAAAATACATGTTAATTTTTTTTTAAAAAAAATTATTTTTGACATAGCACATTAAAATGATTTGAAAACACTAAAAACATATTAATTTGAAGTTAATAAAAAAATAAAATAAATTTAAATTTTTTTAAAAACATTTTAAAACGCAGAATCAAACAGGGATAAGAGCGAAAAATTTAATTTTTTTTTAAAACATTTTGAAACGCAGAATCAAACAGGGATAAGAGTGCTGTTAAATTGTGATCTTGAATGATTTTTTTCAGGGTGGTTCGTTCCCTTTTGCCTGGAAATCAGCTGTCAAAAGATCACTTCTCAGGGCCATCACTGGTCCAGTGTGCCGTCTAGATAGGTAAGCTTTCTCTTATGTTGCAAGCTGCTCCTATGTTATTAACAAAAAAATGTATTTCCGTTGTTAAGTTCTTTTCATTTTATCTAGAAGTCGATAATTCCTTGACAGCTACCAGTATTCAAGTTGCTCGATGCTTTGTTGACTTTAAAAGAAATCCTTATTCTTGGGAATCACATAATGTGGGGACAATTGTGGCCATTTTGTAGCTTGGAGATGCCTCTTTGTGCATCAACCTTACAGCTGATGTTTTCCCTGATTTGCCACTGCTTAGCACTCGGTTTTTGCGGGTGGTTCTAATTTTACCTGTTAAGACGTGATATCTTGGCATTTTTTGCCTGTTTTTGGTTTCTGTTGTGATTTTGTGCCCTTGAGGATTCCTCTTGTGCACATCCCTTCTAATTCTTTGCAGCTTGAATGCTCTTGTGCTGTTAACAAATCTTGTACCTTTGAAAGAAGTCTTGTTTGGTAATAGGCGTGGCTTGATTATGGCTTTTCAATATAACTAGCACTTATAAACGCTACCTTTTTGATGATGCAGTTGGCATCTTCTAATGGCAATGCCAAGAGGAGAAGTGGTGGATCCGCCCCATTCCCTGAAATCCACAGACGATTGTTCCCTTGATCAGGTAGTGGATTGTCCTGCTCCAAAATTATTTTTATTATTATGACTTTTCATTTTCATGTTACCGTCTGGTTTTACAATGCTGATAGGTATTATCATTGTCAAGGGCTAGGATGGCCTTTGGATGAGTTAGCTTACTCTACAGACCCATGCTAGTTAACAGGATAGAGGGAAGGATTTCTAATTTATCAGGAAATGTGTTTTGGACCTGGAAAATTTCTGGATCTGGGTGCTACTTAATGAGATACTTTTGAAACATGCCTATAATCACCTTTCATCAAAGTGAAAAGTATGAACATTGATCTTAAGAATTTCTGAAGGCACATGTATCTTGGAAAGAATGGTAATATTATATATTTAGAATCAAGTAATATGATTAGAAACAACTTTGAGGACTTCAACCTTGCATTTAACAAAGATCACTCAAGCCCATATTTTGTCTGAATGAATCCTCCTTTCACCATGTGCTGCCTCATCTTGGGTCATGTGCCTGTCTCATCTGCAAAAAGAATGTGCCATCCGCTCCCCCCCCCCCCCCCCACACAAAACAAAAAAAAAAAAAAAAACCTCCTGGGGGATTTATGGATTTAAAAGAACAAATACATGTCTAAAGGGAAGACATCTCGTTTCTCATTGTCAATTGAAAGTCAGTCGCTTTGATAGTTTAATCTTGTGATGTTGATATGCTGATCTGTTGGTACAAATCTGATATCTGAGAGATTTGACACTTTCTTTTGAGTGCAGGGTTTAAGAATTGAGGGGGAGCTGCCTGAGAAAATGAATTGCTATGAAGGAGTGTTTTATAATTACTTCAGCATAGGTATGCCAATATGCTCTAGAGTGGCTGTGAATGTTGTGCACGTATGGCTTTAGCTTGGTTTTAGAGATTTGTCATGTCTGAATTTGAACTCAACAACTTCTTGTGTTGATGAGAGTCTCAACTGATGAACTCAAACAAGACTGTTCTATTCTCAACAATCTGTTGCTTTGGTTCTTCTGATATGATTCTTTTATTTGCTTCCTTTGTTGTGCCCATTTGTTCTCCAGCATGTTATCTCATTGGTTCTTATGTTATATATTGTTTGTTCATGAGATAGAAAACTAGGCAGTGAATGTGGAACCATATTTTGTCAATTAACTCAAATAAGAATCCTATGACATCTAAAAAGAAAGATAAACTTCATTTGCCAAGACTTGCTTCATGACTTAAAATTTTTTGTTCCAAATGCCAAGCTTGCAGGTCCGCGCTTGTGATGAATCTTTGTATTTTGTTGTGCTCTTTAGGTTGCTTTTAAGTTTATTGTTTGTTTGCACAGGAATGGATGCTCAAGTTGCCTATGGCTTTCATCATTTACGCAATGAAAAGCCTTACCTTGCACAAGGTCCTATTTCAAACAAGGTTTGATCAAATCTTCCTGTTACTTCAAATATGAATTTGCACTTGTTTTACCTTGGTAAAACCCTGTAAACATGAATTCTTTGATTGTACTTGTACTTTGGGACCAACTAAACAGAAACCTGGACTGTCTTTGTTGGATAGATGTAGTATTAAATTATGATGATGGTGGGAAAGTGACATATAATCTCCATATTTTGCTAGAGCTCTGTTCTTTGATACATTTGTATTATTCCATTAAAATTGCTTGTGCCAGACTAATATTTTGAAATTGCAAACAATTGAAAATCTTGAGAAGAAAAAAAAATATTGAAGTCAAATAAAATATATCTAACCCACTGTTGTGTAACCCATTTTTGGGTCCCCGCGTAAAATATATATATATATAGAAAAAAATAATAATTCTTGTCTCTTCATATCTTGCTAGAAATACACCACTTCCCAATCTTTCCATTGGAGGGTGGATGATCGCCGCGACGCCGCACACGTGCGACACCCACATTCCATTTTTGAACAGATACTAATTTTTAAATTTTTTTCCATTTAGAAAAAAGATTCAGCTGCAAGGGTTTCATGTTTCTATTGTTTGTTGAAATTCACAGAAGCTGTAGAAAGGTCATCCAATTGTGTTGTTTGTTGAGCCATTCATGTTGTCCTCTTGCACTTATAGGTATGATAAGAAGTTATATGTAGGGTCAAAAAGTTACTACAGAGTTGATGGACCTCCAGGATAATACTTGATTTCTTAGTTTATATGATTATTCAAGGTTTTAGTGTTTATTGTTTCTTATTTGGTGGCTAAAGTAGCTCTAATTAGGGTTAGGAGTTGAAGCGCTTCATCAATCAATATAGATAAGCCATCGAGTGTGCTTAACTTTTAACATTATTTTCACTGTGATTAGTGAAACAGATGTTTTTCGAGCTTGTCGACGAGGCATCATTTTTTTAAAACTTCTAAACCTAGTCTAGGGTTCAATAGTTTTTAGTAATATTGATACAATACTGTGTTTGATCTGTTGTTGCAGTTGATCTACTCTGGATACACTTGCACTCAGGGCTGGTTCCTCACACCTTGCATAAGTGATCCAAGTTTGAGGTTAGAGATATCAGAACTTAAGTTGGTTTTATACCATTTATTTTGAACATCTTTTGTTTCTCTTCGCTGTTCTAATACTTAATGACTAGAATAATGTTTGGATTCCTTGCTTAGTTTGTAAAATTTCTTAGCTTGCAACCTTAACGGTGCAAGTCTGAGACTTGAGAGTAGTTGCTTCATGCAACAGTGCTGAAGGGTAGGACTGTCTCCATATTCTAACACGCAGAATCCCACTATTATGGGTCTACAACTAGTTTTAACGACTTTGTAACTAGGATTATAGTTCAATTTGTCATAGTGATGGATGACTTTTTTTTTCTTTTCATTTCTTTAAATTATTATTATTATTATTTTTTGTTTATTAACTCAAGGAATATACTCTGATTAACTTTTGTTTCACTAGAAAATGTCCTCTTGCAATATTTGACCACCATTTCTAAATCTCATACCACGCTAACATTTGACCACTGTTTCTAAATCTCATACCACGCTAAGCTTGTCAGTAATTTTCAGAACTTTATGTTCCTTTATATATTTCTAAATTTTTCATGTGCAACCATTGGTACTGCCTCACAGCAGTTCCCTTGGAAATATGGGTGACAAAGATTTTCATTTTAAATAGTAGTTGCTGAATGGTCATGCTTTGGATATTTGATTCTTTTCCTTCTCATTATTATTATTGTTGTTGTTTTTGTTGTTGTTGTTGTTTTATCAAATATATTTGACTGTATACAAGTTAGTTTTTCTTATCGTCTTATCTAATTTATTTGACCGTATTCAAGTTACTTTTTCTTGTTTATAAATTCATTTTTTTTATGGAATTGCCTCATTCGTTTTCTATGGAATCTCCTTATAAAATATTTTTGACTGTATGCAAGGTAGCTGTTCTTTTTTATTTATTCATTTTTTTATGGAATTTTCTTTATGAATTGTTAATGTTCGTTACACAATTTTATGACAATATGTTGCCTTGATCATTTATATGATGATATAACATTTAATGGCTGCAGGGGACTCAAGAATATCATCAGGATGCATGTTAAGAAGGTCAATTGCTCAGAATGGGAGCAGATACCTGTTCCTAAAAGGTAAGAGTGTGATTGATGCAATTTCTATTGAGATACTTAATGATTAAAGTAACTAGATGCTTCTGAGCACTTTCTTTTTTTCTTTTTCTTTTTTTTGTTTCAGCCTTCCATAACTGTATACTCAATTTCATAAACGCATGCAAGTGTTTTGTCTGACCCAAATATTTCTTTTGTTTCGTTTTTTTCCCGTTGCTGGAGATATTTTGCTAATCTTACTCTTTGACATCATACATACAGCACCTCATTCTTTTACCCTTTGTGTGCTATCTGGTTATAATTAATTTACTCACTTTTGTTCTTTCTTCCAGTGTGAGGGCAATCGTTGCTTTAAATCTTCACAGTTATGCAAGTGGAAGAAATCCATGGGGTAGCCCAAAACCAGAGTATTTGGAAAAGGTATCACATGTCTGTCCTGAGATTATTTTTCCCACTAAACAATTTGTTCTATGGATTTTGTTATGTGCTATTTACTACCTGAAACTGCTGTATACTATCTCCATATGACACCTGCAATTCTATGACTTGGATTACCTTTTGTTGAAAGGTTACAAGGTTAAAAAACAGTGATAAATTATTACAAGAGTAATTATTATATGAGCAATTTTTAAGGCTGCGAATGTGGGTGTAAAAGCGACTTTTTAAAGCTTTTTGGTATGAGGTTCAAAAAACAAATGTATTGATTGATGGGGCCAATTAAAATTAAATATAAATAATGTATGTTAGAGCATTCCACCAACAAGGGGCAAGTAAAAGAGGGGAAAATGGGTTATATAAGTTATAGGAAGAGAGTAAAAAAAGTAGAAAAGACAAGTTTTTTCTTTCTTGAAAATATTTTACTTCTCCCTCTCCAAGGTTAAAATATCCCCCCCAATTTGCACCATTTGGGAGTAATTTTTAACCCCTTGATAATTCCCTCTCTAGTTTTTTACAGTAAACAACCTTAATGATTACCCTTGAAGAATATAACTCCATTACCCCAAACCAAACATAACCTTGGAGATAATTGAAACTTGTTCTCATGCTTGGCTAAAATTATGCTTGCTTGCTTTTCTGATTCCCAAGAATGATTTATCATTTATATATATATATATATATATTTTAATTTTCCAGAAAGGCTTTGTGGAGGCCCATGTTGATGATGGCCTCCTAGAAATTTTTGGCTTAAAGCAAGGATGGCATGCATCATTCGTCATGGTTGAACTCATCTCTGCGAAACACATAGCCCAGGTATTGTAGTCAATTGAAACTTGATAAATTTAGTGCATGCTTAAACAAGCTATTTGGAACCAGTTTTCTATTGTAATTGAGTTCAATTATAGTGTTCAATTTGAATTTAATTGATAAATAAATTGAAATCACATGTCTATTTGCAAAAGAGAAAATTCAATTCATTTTGTTTTCTTTATTAACCATATTACCTTAATCTTATTCCTTCAAAAGTCTCTTGTATTTTGAGGAAGCTCGTTTTAATATTAATATCTCCTCTTTAGTGTAGTCAATCAGAGAGGATGGCTCTGACTATTTTTGTACTATTTTTAGAGATTGAATTCCATTTGGAATTTAATTCTCGACACTTCAAATAATTTCAAACATGAGTTTTGATTAAAACCTCTTAATTGAATTCAATTCAAAGGGTTCCAAACAGTCTGAAAATGTTTTAAAGTATAAATTAAGATTTAATTTTCATCACAATCCTAGTATGTTATGATGGTTTGGAGTGCCATAATATATGATCCCTGGATCTTTCTTTATTTAATCGATCTGTCAGTTGGATCTTATCAAATAAATTAGTGGATCCTAAACTTTTAAGAGGTTGTGCTATGTTCATCTGAGAGACAAGAATATATAAAATGTTGTCAACCATGAATCTATATTTTGAAATTTTTATTTTGTGTGTTTAGGTATGCATGTGTTAGTGTGCAAATGTGCTTTGGGCATTACCTTTGTATGAATTGTATTGCTGTACAATATTTGGTAGAAAATTTTGATGGATCTAATTTATATTTTGGTCAAGGTTTTACCAGCTGTAATTTAATGTTAGAAACAGGCTTTATTGACGTCCAAACTGCCATTTTTTAATCTTAGTTCACAGTTGCTAATCATGTACATTGAAGTTCTTGAATGCCTGACGCAGGCTGCCATTGTGTTACTTTCGAGGGTTGAACCCCACACCGGTGTTGAAGTTATGTTTTCATTTTCACAAGTTGTGTGTTGGTATCTTTCAGGCAGCAGCAATACGACTGGAAGTGAGGGGTGGGGAATGGAAAGATGCATTTATGCAGATGGATGGCGAACCCTGGAAGCAGCCCATGAGCAAGGAATACTCGTCATTTGTAGAAATTAAGAGAGTTCCTTTTCATTCTCTCATGGTTAATGGAGATTAGGCTTCCAGGGTGGCCTTTGGTTTAGGTTGGTATCCTTCGAGGGGGTCTTTTCCTTGGGGCTGAAATCACCACCAAACTTTGTGTTCAGCCATCAGGCTTGTATATTGTATTATTTGTCAAATTTCTAGCTATTCGAAATTCATTAATTGTCAATAATTTTTCTCCTTTTTAGTTTTGGACAGATCCTGCACGCAATTTGTGATACTGTTTATGACACTTACCAGGTGCTTAACTATGGATTTGTAAGTCACGATAATCAATTGAAAAGTGATCGTCCATAGCACTCCTGTGTTTCTTTTACTCTCTTTGTTTTATTCATCATTACAATGCCATCCATGTCTCTGCGGTTTTATTTAACAACAAAGCCACAAGTGATAGTGTTCTTATGGGTGCCTGTGTGTTGCGGAAGTGTTTGCCTGCAGCTACTACATCATCTCTGGAACCCCTTGTGAAAAGAGCGAGCCAGCCTCGTTCGAAAATCGGAGGTTGCCATGGATATGCAGCTCTCTGCAAATTCTTGAACCGATGAGTTCAAATTAGGAAGTACACCTACCTCATAGTACCTTCTTCCCTGTCAAGCACTGACGGTAGTGGCTCGGCAAGAGAAAGGACAGAAAAGGAATGCTCTTCTACTTTGCCATTAGCTGTCACGAAATCTGTAGACTTGTGGGTCAAGGAAAATGCATGCCAGCAAGCTTCTGCTATGAATATAATATAGTAATGAATCGACATGGTTGTCCCTCTGTACTTATGATGTTCTTTTGTAAATTATGAAAATCCCAACTTGACTTGTTAATGACATTATGATTTCGACGAATCAAATTGAAATTACAATACACAAAGGCTGCCAACATGTTTAAGTAAAATCAGAGCATGAAAAAACAAATAAATACACACACACACTGTTAACGTTGTGCGAAACTGGAGCTACCTATTATGATATTTAATAGTATAGTCATTTATCATCCTATATTTAAGGAAAATTAGGTCGAAGATATATAGATAGAACTGGATATTTAATAGTATAGTCATTTATCATCCTATATAAACTGGAGCTAACTATTATGATATTTTAATGCGTCTTATATATAACTATTTTTTAATTATTAGAGAGATGGTTAGAAAATTAAATAGGAGTTTTTTTTTTTTTTTACTTTAAAAACTAAATTTTAATCTATTTTAACATAAATACATCACAAAAACACGCGTATAATCTTGATAAACCAACTACTCAACTCAGAAAACCCTTAAAATCAATTAAAAAATAAAATCTATTTTTTTAGCAACATGAAAGCTTTAAAATATCTTAATGACATTTATCTCTTCAAGATGAATGCTTTGATACCAAATTTGACTTATTTTTGTTAATAAAATCTGACAAATGAATCTGTTTTTCATTCCTTTATCAATTTTCAGTAATTCTCTATCTCTTTCTCAAATTTAGAAATTAAAAAATGAATAAAAAAAGTTTTGATACAAATTGTTTAATTATCAAACTAGAGGAATAAAAAAAAATTGAAAAAAATCATAAGGCAAAATTTTTCAAAAAAAGCACTTGACACCACATTTGTTTTAGAAAACGGTTGCCCTTTTACCTAATTTTCAATTTTATTCCTTCATTTTTATTTTTTTACAAATAATAAAACCAAGTTAAAAAAAAAATAAATTAAAAACCAACCCAATGTCAATTTTTTTTTAAACTGTGATAACTTTACAAAAAATAATATGAAGTAAATCATTTGACCTAATTACTAATCAACATAATATAAAAAAATAAAATTAAAGAAAAAGATTGATGATCAAAGTAAAAAAAACACATTAAAGAAAAAGGTTGATGATCAGAGTAAAAAAACACATTAGAGACCAAAATAATTATTAAAAAGGGCTATTATTTTACTTTATTTTTTAATTCTGATCCTCTTATTTTTAATTTTTCACAAACAATTTAACCAAATTATTTTTTTTATAAAATTAAAAACTAATCCAATAACAAGATATTTTTTTTTTAAACAACTATAACCTAACAAAAACAACTAGAAACAAATCATGAAGCCCAATCAACACCTAATGTTTTGGAATAAAAAAAGAAGAAGAAAAAGCTAATGCTAAAGACAAAAATACTTCATACTTAGGCTCATTTTATTATTCAATATAATAGTAAAATGACATCTTTCTTCTTAAAAAAATAATCAATTATCTTTGTTTTGAGGGTTTTTTTTGTCTTTTTACATGATACATTAATCATGAAAAATTTGTATAGAGATATAAATGTCTCTTCACTTTTTCTAGATATAATAAAATGACATAATTACTCTTATGGTAAAAAAATTTTAAAACTAACTAAAAGGGATATTTTAGTTCCTTTTTTAATTCAAGGACCATTAGGGCACTTTTCTAAAAGGCTATTAACATGTGCGGTAGAAGCACCATTACATTGGTGGTGTCTATTTATTTTGGACTGTGTGACTAGCTTTTCTTAATAGTTGAAATTGCTATAATTTCATCATGTCATTGGATATGCAATCATGTTTTTTTTTTTAATGATTAATGTATATTAGTGAAAATGAGTGGTTTGTCACTAATGATTTTTTCTCTCTCTCCTCCTAAAAAAAATAATGTTTGGTCCTTCTTTTTTTTTTAACTATTTCAACTTTGGTTTTTATTATTTTAATTTTTAATTTTTGTTATTGATCATTTTATAAAAACTTTATTTATTTTTAATTTCATCTTTTTATCTGAATTTGTCACAAATATTTTTTTGTTGTCCTTATTTTTTTGATTTTAGATTTTTTTTCCTTGGCTTTTTAGTATAAGTTTCATTAGTTTTTAATTTCATTCTCCAATCTAAACTTATGGTATATAATTTTTTACAATCTGGTCCTAATTCTATTTATTGTTTTTATCCTTGTATTAAAGTTATCATTCTTTTCAATTTAATCCACAAATAAAAGATTTGTTGTTGAATTCGAATTTATTTTTTATTTTGATTTTAACTCGTAATATTTTAATTGCTAATCTTTTTTATCTTGAATCTTTTTGTTTATTTTTTTACGATTTCATCCTTCAATGTTTTATTTTGTTAGAGTTTGATATTTTTTTTTTTTCATAAATGAAGCTTTTGATATGATAATTATAAGTTTGAAAAGTTAACAAGGTTGATATTCTTTTCTTTTTCAATTTCATTGTTCATCATTAAAAAAATAATAATTGACTTTGTGTTTTTTTTTTTTCAATTTCTTCTCAAATAGATTATCCTAACCTCATGATCTAAGATGCGAGTTTAATAGATTAACTTGAATTAATTCATCCCTTAGGATTTAAGGGTTTAAAGCTTATGATTTATGGTTTAATGTTCAAATTGTATGTCTATTATACCACCTCGAGTTGACTCACATTGGTTTTTTATGCTTTTTTTTGTTTTATTTTATTATTTTATATTTAATTAATTTAAAATTGAATAATATTGTTTTTATGCTCTTTAATAAATGATTTTTTTCCAGTAATATTTATTTTTTTAATTTTTATTTGCCTGCTATTATTGATTTTTCCCCTCTTTCATTCAAATAAAACTAATTTATTTAGCTAATTAAGACTATAACTCAGGTCATTGGATTTGGTTTTATAAAATATATTTGCAATAACTAAATACTTTATACAAAAAACAATATTGGTTTGTTACTCTTGGATAAAGATTATTTTTAGTTATCTTGATTATTTTTTAAAATTTTTGTTTGCCTGTTATCATTGCTTTTTATTTTTTATTTTAATTTAAATAAAACTAATTTATTTAGTTAGGTGAGACTGTAACCTCAGTTATTAATTTTTTTTTTTTAAGGATATTAAATATTTTATAAAAAGAATGACATGTATCCACGACACATAGCGCAGGACCATGCCGAGGAAAAGTTACATGACAGTAGTGGAAAAAAAAAAAAGAACAAAAAGAAAGAAAGAAAAACACGTGTCCTGAGAGATTGTGTTTTCTTGATCCCTTTTAACTTTTTTTTTATATATATATATATTAATTTTTAGTAAGTCACAAAAATTTGACATTTTTTCTTTTTTAAATTTTGAGGACTCTATTCCTAGAGAAACAACAACATATCTTCTTCACTAAAATGGCGATGCCGAGGCAACTGACTCAGAAGCCTTTGCTTATGTTATTCCCTGAACAGTTTAAGCTGTAACACCGATATTTCGGGACTCCCTCAAGAAATTTGGCCCTCAGAAAGGTTTGGCTACAACAAGCACAAGAAAACTTGTTCCATCAATGCCTGCCAGCCAGACAATCAGGCAACCAGCTCTCTTTATGATCGATCACACAGGTGCCAACCCAGCGTTGAATATGGAGTGGTTGAGAAATGCAGGTGAGTTCGGGTGAGAATGAACGCTCCATTAATTCTAGTTGTAGTGCAACCGAATATACAGAACTAATGGTGGGCAGTTTGAGGGAAGATTTCAGCAAAAAAATGAAAGTAACCGAGGATCATCGGCAGGAGGGATCCACACCAAACAATTACCACCATAAAGATCCGCTTTTAAACCACGACAACCCACGTCTACCACCAGTGGTAAGAGATCAGGAGGAGGAATTTAGTTTCGTATGCGCAAATCCTTCAGGACCCTTGATATCTGCAGAAGATATATTCCAAAATGGTATGATTAGGCCGACTTACACTTTATGCAACCGTGATGATCTCCTGTTTGCCGAGGATGTTAGAATTAAAGCAAAAACATCAACCCCATCAACTCCGTTAATGTTCATGGAAGAGCGCAGCGAAGCGGAGGGACCGTGCTGCGTGTGGTCAGGGGGGCACACAGTATCACGAAATCAACAGATATGCAAGAAGAAAAGCTTCACAAGGTTTTCAAAGCTAAGGAGAATACGAGAATTTGTTCTTCCAAGTAGCAGACTGCTTGGCAACGACGCCTTCATCCTCTTTAATCATAAATATTATTCTTCTAAACATCCAACAACAATAAGGACGACTGCCAGCAAAAATGTTCTAAATCAGGAGAAGAAGAAATAGCAGATGCGTAAAATGATGTCTTCGTCAACACACAAGTTGCATTTATATACCTATGAAATAGAGCGATCCAAGGTGGGGATAAAAAGAAATCACACTTGCCATAGCGGCAGGATTTTTTTGGTTTCGTTCAAGGAGGCTAACTAGTTCAGATTCATCCTTGTTGATGAACATGCTAAAATAAAAGATTGAAAGATTTCATGGCCAGGCGGTCTTCGTAATTGAAGAGAACACTGGAATCATCCTTTTCGATATATAAAAAAA